TTACTACAAAATGCACGTACAGTCATCCTTAGTAGAAACATGTAGCTTTAAGCAATGCTTGCAGCTAGATGTGCAAAGGTAAGGTGTGACAGATCAATGACAGTGTAAAAATGTAATACAAGTAGGTGCCTGCCTGCAAAAGCTGGTGTGTTACGCCAACGGGTAGTTATACCATGCTATATCTTACAGAATATGTCTCACTGTAGTGTCAACATTTGTAGAATACATATAGCTGAAAATCTACATAGCGTGCCTTGAGTATTCTCACTGATGCCTAAGGCTGTAACCAATAGAGAATTTGGTATCCTTTTGGCAAACGACTACTTCAGTGTGCTAAAAATTTAACAGGTGGGCGTAGAGTGGGATTTCCAAAATTGATTTTGCTAGCATATCAATGAGTTTTGAGCTACCCACATGTGAAATTACAGTTTGTAATTGGATCTACATTGGAGGCACTGAGGAGCAAAATGGGTAAAGGCGGATTCACTTTTGATGTACATGTAGTAGAACTACTGAGAAAAATCATATTGGAAAAAGGTTTACTTAGTGATACATGTATGTGACTGTGCACAAATTTTAAAGCGACAGTATGTAACATTTTTGTATCAATAATTAAAATATTGTAACTGAAAAATGTTCATGTGATTGTAATTTATTTCCACTTTTAAACATGTTTGTGCAATTACCTCACATTTCTGACTTTTTTTTCTTTCTGACATTAATGGTATGCTAGGGACTAAAACAGACCCAACTCATTTTGTGGCACTTGTACCACCACAAAATACCTGAATGTAAACAAAAATGGCTGACAGCCTTTTGGATCATGAGAGGTAATTTTATGCTACTGCTACTGTAAGGAAGAAGACATTTTCCCAGGATAGGTTTCAAGAAAGTTGTGCAGTGATCTGTTGTGAACTCCTGAGCAAAGGGGGCTGCTTGACTGAGTAACAGTTGATACAGGTACATGTAGATAGATAGAACTTATTTCTACATATAAAGAGGACATTTTTTACACAAGCCATCATTAGGTTGAAGGAGAAGAGCTATGTGGTCCTGCCTGACCCAAAATCCTGTGTGCGTCAGCGGTCTCCACTGATACAGTGTAGTTAAAAGCATGTGATTTTTCATGAATACATAACGACGGTGTCCCCGGGCAGTCTGCCTCTTACTCCCAGCTACTGACGTCATCCAAGGCTTAGTGTCAGCACCCTTCTGGTTTGATGTTAGAATCATTGGAAAAGGGTGCAGTCTAAGGGCTTAGTATTGAATGCAGGTTTTGAGTTGATATCAAATGTCGAGAAATGGGGTGAAAGCATCTAAAACTAATAATAGATATACTTGTGAACATGACTGCTTCTCATTTCCTTTACATCTCTGCTTTTTAGACTTAAGTATGAAATTGATAAAATGTTATCATATATTATGTACATGCTCTCTAAGAAGTGTACAGCCTATACATTGTATATAGGACTTTTAAAGCATCCAATGCAATTTCAGGCAAAAACAAGCTACATGGCTCGTCTCAGTGTCTTCTTTTTAGTTCCCCCCACAAATACATTGTGTACCAATAACAAGCCTATGAACAAAATATTTTCTGTCAGCGACATCACATTTTTGCCTCACAGCTACAATGCTATGTAATATACATGTAGCATTGATTCAACTTGCTACATTAAAGGAATGAAAGGAAAATTGACTTTTAATATCCAGTTTTGCCACCCTGAAATTACAATGGATGCCTTTAACGGGCAAAACAGATTCTATTTAATTTCACAAAAAGGAATACACTGCCGCATTACAGCATAGCATTCAATTGAATACTAATGATACTGCCATAGGTATAGTTATGTAATACAGAATATATTAAGCAACTTACTGGATAGATTTTCAGAAGAGTCAGATTTTCAGATAGCATCCGCTATCTTTCATCAGTGACTGAGAATATAAATGAATATAAATTATATATGAAACAACATTCATATAATTATTCATGTCTTGTTTTGCAGACTCATTCTCAGTCAATAATGGAAGATAGCAGCTCCTATCTGAAATGTCTGGCACTTCAGAAAATTCCTCCAGTCGCTGGATTTATTTTGTATTATGCAACATTCTATCTGGATGTTTAACCTTCATTTACCAAGCTTAAGTTGGTTTCAGGCCATAGACTTAAAGTGACGATGGAAAGAAAATAGCCCTTTTTTTTAAATCAACAACATAATAGCTTTTTCCATGTCTGTACAGCCTTAAGGTCTGAACGGAAATCACCCAAACTGTCTACATGTAAGGCCTTGAGCAATAAGACAACTTTGGCCACACCAATTTATTTAGTTGTTTTTCAAACATTTTGAAGCAAAAATTCACAAAAGGTAAAAGAAGAGATTTGTCAGGAACACTTTTAGTCATAAAACAATATTCACAACAACAGCTATGGTTTCAGCACCATGCAAGTTCCATATGTATTAAAGGTACCCACAGTGATTTCAGGGCAGTAAAATGGATTTCCAAAGCCAATTTCCTGGTCAACTTTTTTAATGTAGTAAGTTGAATCAATCCTATCCCATTGCATACTGATATCTGTGAGGCAAAAATGTGATTAGGCTGAGGGAATATGGTTGCTTGTTTGGTATCGATGGCTGGTTTCAGATATGTATTTGTGATGCCAGAAAATAATAAAGAACTCCATAGTATGTAGATTGTGGTCCCGCTAATATTATACATTCTTTTTCTTTTCTCTGTTATATCATAGTATTATTCTGTTTTCTTTCCTTTGCAAGGGCAAGAATTTAAAAAAAAACCTGAGTGTGTTCTCTCGAAGCCAATTAGTCCCAGCTGGAAACACCCCAGACTTGAGAAGAAGCTCTTAAACCAATTTAAAAGCACGCCTCGTGTGGGGGTGGATGGATACATAAGCCCTACTGACAAGGCTTGACGTTAGGTGACATTTTCAAGAACACCGTCTAATGGTGGCTGGCAGGCACGTGTGCGAGCCAACTATCTCCATTAGCCAGAACTGTGCCAACGGCATTATGGCCTTCTTCCCATCATTGTTATAAAGACCTCTCTGACCTTACCTACATGTGCATGTAGGCAGTGGATAAAAGCAATACCAGCTTCTGATGGCGTAGCCAATATTGTCTTCAAAATGTCTGTGCAAGTATGGAAAATATACGTATCCTACAGTCCTTAAAGTCTTGATCCAACTTACCAAGAACATGAATAAAAAGATACCATACTTTCTTGATATATTTATATATTCTGTCTGTGACTTAAGACAACACACTCATGTACATGTATATTGCAGTAAATCGAAGGCAGGATATTTGATGACATAACAAAATGCAATATATCATATTGATGTAAATGTTTTAACCTGTTGACATCTATTTTCTATTACCTTCATGTATAGTGCAACATGTGTCCCTCTCATTTATTCAAACCCAATTTGAAACATCCAAACCTGTTTCAGTCTACATATGCCACCCTGGGAGGTGGAAATGCGATTGTAGGATTACCTTAAGCCTTCGTAAAAGGGTGCTTAAGCATCTTTGGATGTGACGTGCAAATCAAGGATGGCTCTTTCAGCTACCGGTGCTCAACAGGGAAGAGTGCTCGCTTTGCAAGTGAGAGGTTGAGACTTCAGGTCATACCAAAGACTTATAAAATGGCACATACTGCTTTTTCTGCTTAGCACTCAGAATCTATGAGAATGAGAGTAGAGGAAGGTCAAACACACAACACTACCTTACCAGTGGGCTAGCCCACTGCTGTAGTGCTTGCACAACTGTGTGGCCCAAGGGCTACAGAAATGGAGATGGGCACTACCCCTATGCTCTGTACAGATTAGAATGGGACCCTTTTTTTCAGCTAACCAAACATAATTTGTTGCGTGGAAGGTAATCAAAATGCCAGTGCTGTGTAAAACTGGGCTCATTCTACCGCACAAAATCAACATGATGCTCTTTCAAATGGCAGGGTCCTTTGCACTTTTGCTGGTCTTTTCTACTCAACTGACACCTGGCACGAATGTCAAACGGAATTTGATCAAACACAAAAGGTTGTACCAAGACATTTGCTACCCCAGAAGCAATCTTCATTTTGATTTCCCTCGACAGTTCTGTAGGACTGCAGTGCCAAGATTTCCAATTTTGTCATCTCCACCTGCACTCTTAGTCAGTAATGGATGAAATATCACTGAACAGGGGTATATTTTCCCCATGGCTTTACACTGAGTATCATGTCTGTTCCTTCCATGGCTGGGTGTCAGATACATTACCACAATATGAATGAAATCTAAGCTAATGTCAGGAGGGAAAGACTGGCCACAAAAAAAAGAAGACATAATTCTTTACCACACCTAACCACCAATACGCTATAATACAAAATATCTCTGCTCCATTAGAAAGAGTTTATACATTACAATTTTGCATCTAAGTCCAGTCTTGTTGGCATTAGACCAATTATTTGGGTCACACATTGTTACCACACTCATGCTACCTATGTGTAGCCAGCTATTCCCATCATGGCCCCCATGCATGCAGACAGCTTTTTTTAATGGACTTCTTATTCAACCAGAAGAGAAATCCATTTCCTTCATTCACAGATGTCTTAAAGCAATGATTTCAGACTTACATTCACTCTTCGTGTGTTCCAAGGTAGCACATTAGTCTTTTTCTTCTTACAGTTAAACTACCTATTTCTCACATATAGCACAAAATGTGACCCCCATTTTCAAGACCATCATCTAATGGTGGCTGGTAGGCACGCGTGCAAGATAACATGTATCTCCATTAGCCAGAACTGTCCAAACAGCATTATAGCTCTCTACCCATGGCATAAACATGTAGTTTTCATCAAGAAACTCTTTCTTCAGAGTGATGTAAAAGCACATCTTCATGTACCCTTGTGTTGGAACAAAAGTTTTAACTTTAAACAATGACATAAAACTACACATGTACAAACACAGGTGAAGTTTCATGATAGTACACAATGCATGTACATACCTCATTACTGCCAATGCCAGTTCCAACCAGCTCCATACCAACTGCCTTCTGCAGAGCTTCCTTCTTGTTTTCTGAATAGAAGAGATCAGATGCATTTTTAAAGGCATCCAATGCAATTTCATGGTGGAAAACCAAAAAATATTCTGATGGATAAAATCTGTTTAATATCAATGTTCATTTACTGTGACAGTCATTTGTTAGCATGTTTTTGTCATCATTTCATGTACAAAATGTATTAGAGACTCCCTTAATTTTTTGAGAGGGTCTGCATTTTTTCGTGAGGTGTCACTATGGGTTTCAAAATTGAAAAATTAAAAAACAAAAAAATCATCATTAATCGCAGATAGCCCACTTCAATCCAATGTTAGGTGAAACGTACTCGCCTGCTTTAATTCTAGGCAGAATGTAACGTTACATCCTGAAGATGATGATAATAATATTGAAAAGTTCTATACATTTACATATCATATAGTCGTGTAGTGCAACAATCTGAAGAGTCAAGTTATACATGTAAAAAAGTAATATTGTTACTGTTAAACATTGCTGGCCCTCCTGAATTTTAACATAACCAGTAAGTATAGCGGCCATCCAAGTATCATTATTAAGTGTTGACACATTGTAGGGATTCCCCCATGAAGACCCTTTTTGGAAGAACCCCCCATGAACACCCTCTAGAATTTGGTTGCCCCAAGCATGCAGCTGTTGGGTAGATTCCACTATCCTGGCAGTCCAGTAACATCTACCCCGGGCCTACCTCTAGATCCATATAATGGCACAGGATGTCAACAGAATCTGTAATGTGCACTTTGGCAGAACTTCTCGTCAAAGATCGCATTTATGGATATAGTTCTCAAATGTTTTCTCGGAAAATTTGTGCAACAGAAAAAATTCTAATGCAATGAAAACCGTGAATGCATGTTTTGCACAGGCGCAGTGCATTCTGCTGACCTTTCAAATGGCTCCATTACAGCATTTTACACATAATGTCTGTCATGTATTTCTTTTTCGATGAATTGGGGCATTATGCTTACCCGCTAGATGTGCAACGGTGGATGCGTTGAGTCCCTTGTCATTGGGTCTGACCAGGAAGGAGACATGGTTGTCCAGAACACTGGATAAACAAACAATAAAAACATCATTCGGAAAAGTGTCTCACAAACACAGAGGACAGTTTCTGAACAATTTTTACCTAAGAAGGCCAGATTCCATAGGACAGATGGGTAGCCAAGACAAGTTTGTACTACAAATTCATGACAGCATACAGTTGTTATACATAAATTTGAAATGAAATGTGATTCCTACTAACCTGATATCAGAGAAGATTTCACTTGGAACTCCGAGGATGTCAGCAAGTGCATCGCGGACCTTTGTACCATCTTCATATGTCACTCTGTAAACAACACATTCATTTCAGTTTCAATGACTTGCTGTTTTTATATGTTACACAGTTTTACTTACAGTTTATATTTATTAGCAAGGCTTCAAACTATATTGGTTAGGCAAAAATAAACCAGTTCAGTAGTGGATGAAATTCTCACTTTGTATTCACACAGGGCACAGATTTAAATCAAGTCATACATGTACCAACACTGAATATTTAGTATTGAAAGTCATACCTCGGACAAGATAACATTAGATACAGGTGTTCAGGCCTGTGTGATAACTAACTTGTAATGAATATCAAAAAGGGATCTATTACGGTTATCACACAGGTTTCCAAAAGTACCTTTGAATAATATGAATACATTATGCATGCTGTTTAATATTCTTACTCAAAAGCATTCATGTGCAAGTATATGGTGACAGCCCCTGCAACTCTGTCTTGCAACTTGCGACATATAAATGTAATCCAACACCACAGGGTGTCTGCTACAGCACCAGTTACCATGGTGACAGATGTCTGGTCCAGGTCCAGGCCAGGAAGAAGAAGAAACATACCACAACTAGAAAGGCCAATATTTGCTTTGGAGCAAATACAGCGATGGGTTCACCACATTTTACGACATGGCAGGGAAAGAATGGGAAACACAAGGGAAAACAATGATTTACATATAACTATAATATGAAGTAAAATACAACTAAAACAACAGTTGGATAGCTATTCCCTACTTTATTGGTTAGGATTTTTAATTGCATAATGCAAACTGTTGATTTTCAAAATAAAAAAAAACGTACCATGCCCGGCATTCCAATGCTGGAGCAGGAAAGCTTGAAATACCTACCAAAACACTTGAATACAGACATACTGTCAGTATGGAAATGCTTCTGTGCAGGTGTTAATCAAGTTAAATCCCAACAGCCAATCAGCAAGAAGTATAGAGGAAAGCTGCATGCCTATTGGTTGATGCCCTGCATTCCATTGTGATGACTCATGCCCAAACGTGGTAAACAAGGCAGACTAACACAGTAATACATTTGCTATAACACAGCCAAAAAACTCAAATAAAACCATTCTAAAAGCCTGTATCACAATAATTTAAAAAACGCCTAGGGGTATTTGCCCACTGTACCTCCATACCAAATTTCAGGACCTTAGGCCCTAAAATGAAGAAGCTGAATCCATTTAAAGATATGGCAGGAGGAGGAGAAGGAGGAGGAGAAGAAACATCAGAAAAAGCAATATGGTTTCACCACACCACTTTGGTGTGGTGAACCCATAAAAATGTTTCCTTCTGTTAACTTAAGGTAAAAATTAAAATAGGGTCTGAAAAACTGTGTATCATAGGCATAGAATCAGATTTTTACCAGTGTACACTTTCATAGGTTAACTCAACACATACATGTACATGCCAGTTCTTGCTGCCTACATTGTACATATTCAAGTTCAGTTTTGTACAGTGTAAATCATTGCCAAGTTCATCACAGTTTGAGTCTGTTGTACCTGATAACACGACGTTCAAGTCAGCCAAGACATATGGAAAACATCCTCCACTGCCTATCACAGAGCCCATATAGCAAATTACTATAATCACAGCAAGCTAGCGGAATATTTTTAAGCCATGAATCACAGCAAATAGGTTCCTAGTTCAGATGAAATCGGCTGGGGAATGGCTTTTTCCTAGAAAGCTGAAGTTAGCAGGGCAGAAAAGACCATTCCATTAGACTAGGGATAAGTGGAAAATTTCCTGTAGGGCTGAGTTTTGTGGCATCTTGACAACCAAGTCTGACTTTAAATGTGTTTTTTTTTTCAAACTAATAAGTCACAGTTTCAGCTTGAAAGTTTATCTATGTTTGGTAAAAGTCATTATGAATGAACCTGGAGGTAGAACTTTAATTTTCAACGCAAACAAGAGGGACCCAAATTTGCTCCTTCCTTGACAAATAGCCCTGAAGCAAGCTACATTGTATGTGTCAGGCATTCCTTAGTTTTTGGTACCCCTCATGCTGAAATACATGTAGCCACATATGTAAAATCAACCTACGATACAAAACAAACAACCATCAGCAACATTGCCTCAGTATGCTATAGGATAGGATTGAATGATTTAAAGGAATCATCAGAAAATTGACTCTTTGAAAAGTCATTTTTCAAATTGACTCTGTGAAAAATGCCCTGAAATTGCATTGGATGCCCTTCCCATTTTGACTTATGTATGTAATACATGTTCAGCTCCAGTTGAAGTTGTAAGTTGTCTATTAAAGGTCACGGGCTTTTAAGGGATCATGTATCCACCGGAGAAACACGTGAAGGTCAAACTACATGTACATCCGCTGCTGGAAGTCTGCCCATTAGGCAAACATACAAGGTCTAAATGCCCATAGTCTCTAAACCCAGGATGGGTTACCTAGCAACTAAGTTGAAGCCAGCATACCAAGCCTGCACAGCTTTTAGGCCACACTGATTTAAATTCTTGGTTTTGCCTGCTAAATTTTTTTTCTGATTTGTAAAAGAAAGAAAAAGGAGTCATGGGTTACTAACAATTGTGTATGAACTGGATTAACCCCCCCCCCTAAATCGGAGAATGAGTGGATGAGTTCATCATCAACGTAGTGATTGATCAATATTTTTCTTTTTAAATGATAAACATTCATTTTTTGGTGTTAATTCAACAAACAAACATATATAAGTGAAACAAAACTGAGAAGACAGAAACAAACTTCAGGCTGGCTATAACACTGATCTAACCTCTTCTGCTTTTTCAAAGTCACTTACTTTCTGTCGAAGACGAGAAAAGCGTGGTTGCGTTCCACGCTGGCCTCCATGGCGTCCTTCAGGTCAAAGATGCCGACCTGGCGACCTCTGTTGTCTTCAATAGGGATGAACCAGGCCTTACTGTCGATGGTCGGCTCTTCTTCTTTCCCTTCTTCTTCACTCTTAAATTTTACTGCAGAAAATATTCATCTTTTAGTCATCTTATATAATCTATAGTAATGGCTAAACAAATATACCAGGCAAAATTGCTTGTAGCTATAGGCTGAATGGACAGCAATCTAAAAATCTAAAATGCATAATTAACTGACCCCCCCTTACATACATGTAAAGATGAACCATTCCTGAAGATGTTTTCCATGCAACTGGGGAATTTTTTTAGTATTAAAATCTTATTCTCTCTTTTACTTCAACAAATATATAAAGTCATCAAAGTAAAATAAACCTACTTTAAAATGCTTGGCAATGCAAGTGTATAACATAACAATTTAAAATGCAAAGTGAACCCCCTTACATGAAGGTGGACCATTCCTGAAGAAGCTTTGCTGGGAGGCAGGAGATTTCTTCTGTTCCCCCGCCCCCTCCTGAATCCACGTCTCCTCATCTTTCTTATCCTCCTCCCCATCACTGTCTGCATCTTCAGCCTCCTTCTTCTCCAAGTCAGCGTCTTCTGGGTCCTTCTTAGTAGCTTCTGGATCAGACGTGTCTTCTGGATGCTCCTTGTTGTCTTCCTCGCTGCTGTCTGGCTCTTCACCTGTGCCATCTTCAGTATCACCATCTGTTCCTCTTGTTTCTTCATCTTCAGTGCCGTCATGGCTTCCTGAATCTGACAGGACAAATTGGCCATTAGCATGAAAGTTTATCTTGGTTACATCATGAAAATTAAACTGTTCTCTGACTCTAAAAGAAATTGACTCACAGGATCTGTGATTCCATAGATCAAGTTAGATAATCAAATATTAGATCAACAACTTGAAGAAGTATAGTGCTGCCATTCGCACCCATGGTGCTAGGGGGCATTTCTACACCAACAACACAGTCAATGCGTGCTGGGCAACCTGGCATCTCCAACAGGTCTTACACACAAACCATGACTTGCGGGGCAGGAGTGTAAGAGTACAATGTAGATATTTTGCCTTTCACAAAGGCACAACAATGGGACCTGCTAGTGAATTACACTCAAAGCCTTCATATAATGTTGTATAAGAATTGCACCAAACCAAACTAACCTCCGCCTTGTTCCTTATCGTCCTGTAGCAGACTGATGGTTTCCTTGACAGCCTGTGCCAGTAACTTATACTCTTCATCAGTCAGGTCCTCGATTTTTATGGTCCCATCCAGCAGGCTGTTCAGCTCTTTACCTACAACAATCATCAGAGATAGTCTCAATTATAGAAACAATGGAATCACAAAAAGTTTTTTTAATTCACAGTCACTTGTTAAATAAGAGCCGATGTTTTGATTACTCTGACATATTCAATATATTGGATGTCTTTAAGAAGATACATGAGATGACAGTGACTTGGTGACTTACCCACAAGAGATAGAAGCATGTCTGCATCAGGTGTAGGAATCACGTCATCATCTAAGGCGTCATCTCTAGGCTCTACATCACCACCACCACCGAACACCATACCAGCTTCTGTTAGTCGTTTAGTAGGCATTGTCGTCATGTCAGCATCCGAGAAATAGTCCTGCCATTTCGGCAAAACTAATTTCTCATCAGGTGCGTCCTCCTCCTCATCCCTACCACCAAAGTCTCCCCACACCAACCTATTCCCATCACCTTCACCGGGGTTAGGAGAATCTACACCTTCATCGAGAGGATAGTCGTAGTAAGAGGTTTGGCCACCTTTCTTGACGTAGTCGTCGCTGGGTGTGTCGATGTCGTCTCCGTAGTACTGAACGATGGTGTCCAGTAACGTTTTTAGTCTGGCTCGTATCTGGGGGTCGTCTAGCCATGAGTTGACGTACTCTTCGCTGCTGCCATCTCCCAGCATGCCTTGCTGCTGAGCCTGCCACTGTAGCGCTTCTTTCATACGCCTCTCTTCAACTGCCTGCTGTTTTGAATTTTGAATAAAAAGAAAAAATTAAAACTCAAAGAAAAGAACTGATTAACAGAAGAAATACTGGTTCAGAACTGTAGATTCATTTACATGGAAAGTATGTAGGTAGGGACTTACATTTTGTATTTATCAATCATTGCTAATTTCATGGTAGGAAGAAATATTTTTTTTGCGGTGTCTCCAGGGCGATTAATGTAAAATTTACAATTATAATGTACATCCTAATTAAACAAGCAAACAACCAAACCTGTTCTAGTGCCCTTTCCCTGTCCATGAGATCCAGGTACTGTTTGCTAAGCTGGTCTACCATCTCCTGACGTCTCTTCTCCACCCCTGTACTGAGCTGCTGAGCCCCAGGGTACAGCTCTCCCAGGTAGGCATTAGCCTTGTCCTGGCTGTCATACCCTGCTTGGTTGCCAGGGGGCTCTGCTACATAGTGCTGGTGTATTCTGTACAGGAAAAAACAGCAGACATGTGAGGGTTTGCTTTTTAAAGAAACTGTTAAATTTAGAAATTTGCATTTACACATCCTGACATTGTTACAAGACTTAATGAAATGTAGATGACTGTGACTGTATGGAAACTATAGATTAAAAATAACTTTAAGAATCATTAATATCTTTTCATTACAGTATGCCAGACTTGAAATACATGGTGGCTTGTGTGATGTCATCTCACCAACCATACCAAAAAATTGTAACATCATTTCACATGTCCAAATCTGGCATTAAAATTTTCGAAAGCGGCACACACAGTGCACACATAACACTTTCTTATCAATATGTTAAGAACATTTGGAAATGTGTGATACAGCTACTTACTTATCACACGGGCCAGAACACCCATATCAGATATTGCCATAACAAAAAGTTTACCTGTCGAGGTGGCCACCTATGGTGGCTTGCGTGATGTCATCTCGCCAACCGTACCCATCAGCCACCAGTTCTGTGATGTCATCCCGGAGTTCCTTCAGCTGCTGTCTGGACGGGTTGTAGGAGTAGATGGCTTCAACTGGGTCCTCCTGACAACTCCCAAACAAATTATCTGAAATAAAAATCATCAACAATTAACAGGGCTCAACATTCATTTTTGGGAATAGGTGCACCCAAATTTTTTGGGGTGCACCATATAAAACGAAACAGATCTTACAGCTGATCTTCTGAGCTTGAATCTGAAGTGGGAGTGAGATAACTTCCAAATCTTAAACAAGTACTAAAACAGAGATTTTATCATTTTTCTGACACTTAGATACCAAGAATACCCTGTATACTATTATACATTTGATATGATTGTACAAAAATACCTACAAAAATGCATCCATAGAAAAAAAACTGGCTGGATGTTCTACCTGCATAGCCCAACTTCCAGTCCACATCAGAATGTCTTGAATATTTCAAAACATTTAGCTCAGGCAGAGCCAAACATAGCCGAACACCAGCCAACCACAGCCGACCTTTTACTCCTGTTACCTACTTCTAACCATAGTTAGGGGGAGTTTGGCTTAGTGTTGGGGAGGCCATATATATTTAGCTACATGTGACAGGGGCCTTATATACATGTATGAGGTTAAAAGATACATGTACATGACACTACTTTCTTCAAAAAGATGATTTTCAGAAGAAAAAACGGGACAGAAAAGTTGTGTACTAGGTAAATGGTGGGAGTGTTTGTTTACAGAAGGTGCAGTTATTGCGTGAGTGAGAGTTTACATAACACACAGACCAGGGTCAGACTTCTGTGGAAGTCGTGACAGGATGTTTGACTCCACCTCGCAGGCAAACAAATATGAACAATCATTCAGTCACGAATGACCTGTCACGAGTAAGTTTTCCCCAAGTTAACCTGATCCAATTTGATTTGTATACTAGCTACATGTCGTGTATAATCTTAGTTACCTACATGCAGGGTTCTAGCTAGCGAGAAGTAGCATAGGGGCCCCCTACGCTATAATTTTCCCCCCCTACGCTAAATTTCCCCCCCTACGCTATAATTTTCACCCCCTACGCTAAATTTTCAATACAGCATAGGGGCATTGTGACTGTATTTCTTTGTTCAAGAATGCCAGATCAAATGTGAAAATTTACCAATCAAGGATACACTGTACATACCTTAGAAAGAACATTTTTTCCCTTTGGGTATCCCTCAAATGGCCCCCTTTTTAGCTCAATTTCTTAAAAGCTCCACCCCATCCCCCCTATCGGTCGCCTAGCTCCCTTGACATGTGGCCAGTGCAGTACCACTACGCTAAAATTAAATCCTAGCTAGAACCCTGACATGTAAATAGATTCAGACCTACAACTTTGTGCATGGCTTGGAATCCTTTTTTTTCTGCCTACCTGCTCTGGCATGGTGCAGGTGAAAATTACCTGCACCAGACATATATTTTACCTGCAACACTTATATAGATTGCAACACATTTAGACAGTATGGATCATATCAAAACTGTGCAGAAACCATATCACACTTTCTACAGTATCTACAGCTGCACTTTTTTATGATATCATTTTGTGATGATTCCTGAAACCCCTAATTAATAAGACAGCCTGGACACTTTATTCCACTCGACATTACTTTTTATAGTATCATTGTCTGGCAGTTCCTCTACTAGTAGGTAATAAGGCAGCCCTGAGTCCTTAAAAGCCTTTAAGTAGACATCTAATAAGACTGGGATATCCTTCACATAATGAGTCCGAATTTCTAAAGACTTAGTCAGGGCTCAAACAACCACCTGCATAGAATGAAGCTATAACAAGCAAAAATCTGTCCCTCAAAAAGCAGGAAATAGTGTCTCATACTGGTAGGGTTATGACTTTTTTAATTTAAGGGGAAAATACCAGACCCCCGACTGTGGTTATGTCTTACATAGGGACGTGGTTTGTGTCACAGAAAGTTGTCCTTTTTTCGGTACCTAAACACTAAGCTGTGAAAACATTTTGGTGAGAATTATGGGACCAGGTTCTTTGCTATACAGCCAAAGGATTTGTTTGTACAAATACACAGTACTAATCAGACTCAACCATTCTAACATATTAATACTGGAACAGAAAGCAGCAAAACATATGATGTGTTCTAATTCATGATCACAGTCCTTAATACATGTATATCAGCAATAGAATAGAAGGCAGCAAAACATGTGATATGTTCTAATTCATGTTGACAGTCCTTATATCAGCAATAGAGCAGAACACAGCAAAATGACTGTGATGGGTTCTAATTCATGGTGCCAGTCCTTAATAATATATCAGCAACAGAATAGAGGGCAGCAAAAGCTGTGATGTGTTCCAATCCATGATGATAGTCCTTATACAGGCAATACGGAGCTTGTTGCTAATTCTTAGACTTCCTAGGAATAGCAGCAAGCTCATGATCAGTATTGTCATAAAAAGTCTTTTTACAGTATACAGCATCCAGTTGATATGCACCAATTACAGGAGTGCTTTTTATCACTCCTTTGAAGTTTGGGAGCAGTCTGACCTGATTTAGGCCTAATTTGACTGCCAACCACACCCGAACACTGGTGACCTACTCTTGATTGAACACCAGCCAACCATGGCTGAGCCTCCTGTCCATACCCAAATGTTTAAAACATATCTATGTTACCCTTGGTACTAGAATACCTCAACTACATTTATTCTTGAAACACAAAACAGCAATCGGAAGGCGATTTGCCAAACCCAATATTAGCATGGTTAGCATGGTTTACTGCTACGTGCCATGAATTTAATATGAACTCCTGGGAGTGGCCTGAGAATGCCTAATCAGGTATTATTATTCTCTGTCCAAATGCAGGCACAGGAAGGAAAACAATCAAATTAAGGCTGCATTGTGTAATATCAGGACGATACAAAATGTCAATTTCCTTTTTATTTCTATACAACGGAAGTTGAATGAACTTTAGTCCATTGCAAATAAGTGTCATTCAGAATTCGAAAGTGGAGGTGCCAAAAATATGACTCCATATGAACGTGTTTAAAAGCTGGAAACACAGCTGTCAGCCATGTTGTTCATATTCTGGTAGTTTGTGGTGATGCCACACTTAGTGTGCCTCACGTGGGCTGTTTTAGTGCCAATCATACATGTAAATGTCAGAAATGTGAGTTAAATGCACAAACATGTTAAAAAGTGTAAGTAAATGATAATCTCATGAAGATTTTTTTCAATCAAAATATTTCAATTTTCTTCGCACAAAGGTCAAATATGAAATGCCCCATTGATATCTAGAAACGTATGAAGCATACAGAGCCAAGCACCTAATGCTTTCTGACCTAAATGTGCCTGCATGTGATGGAACATTGCACTTCAAAAGTTTGTACTGGCATGAATATGTATGTACTGCAGTATGTAGGTCAGCGCATATATCTTAGGCCTATGGGAACATTGTGTGGTGTAATAGTTAGATTCAGAGTGGTTCAGAATCAAGAGGTTCAAGGTGTGTGAAGAAAAAAAATTTAAACCAGTCAGTCAACCTTGACAAACAAAATTTTAAAAATTTTTTTAAGAAATCCAAAGAATGTTTACCACTCTCAAACCCATGATTTGCCTATCAGAATGTGGGAAATTGCATTTTTTTTCCCAAATTTGCCCCCAAAACCCCCTTAGATTACAAGCACTCTCCCCCCAGGTCCGGTAATGAACCTGGGCTTACAGAAAAAAATTGCGAGCTGGCTAAGAGAAGTTGATCAGGGTTCAATGACATGCCCCGATTTCATGCCCTTAGGAAAGGTACATAATTCAAACACTGTTAAAAGGACAGCTGTCACATCAATAAATGTAGACAGAAAAAAAATTGTGAAACTTCCGATGTGTACAATTACAATGTAACAAAGTACATAAAGCACATAAAGCACATGCAAAATACATTTCATGATTTACAGATTTGATTTTTCAAATCCTGTGCCACTCTGCATCATTCAGAACACCCAAAATATAGTACCATATTGAAGTTCTCCAATAGAAAGCTGTTGTAAATATCCTTCATACAGAATAACCATCTTTTCAGCACCATGAACAGAGTATGGAAGGTCTTGATGTAGTGGTACATTTTGTAAAGCCAGACGACATTCATAATCTGCCCTCAACCAAACTTTTTGGGATCAGTCTGACTAGATTTAGGCCATGCCTACAATTTCAAATTGAATCAAACTTAAGTTAAATTTCAGTCAAATTTGACCCCTGAACACAACCCGAACATTACTGACCTACTACCGTAGCAGCCCATGGCAGGCTCACACATCCACTCCTAAATGTTTTAAACCTGTTGAAACATCCAGCTGGCACAGCCGACCTTGCTCACAACCTACTCCTAACCATGGTTGCAGGGTGTTCGGCAGTGTTCAGGAGGCTGTATCTACATGTAGGTACATGTAGGTGTGACAGGGGCTTCAGGCACTCTTTCACTCGAGGTAAAGTGCCATTACACATGTACTTCTTCTATTGGATGATTCTACAGTGCTGCTTTGTCGTGGGTCACGTTTTTCAGCCAAGCACACTTAAGGCCACACCAATTTAATTTGTTGGTTCTCGGATTTTTTCAGAAAAAATATGAAGCGACAGGGCGAAAAAAATAAAAATAAAAACAGGCCTAGGCATCCTATTATAGCCCCAAATGCTTCGATTGGAGCCATGAAGTCAACACAAAAAGCTGGGATAAAATTTAAACAATGAATTTTGAACTTTTAACCAAACCACTGCATTAAAAGATTGAAAAACTGTAACAACTAGGAAGAAAAGGACTTTCCTCAACTGTTGGGAGCAAAATTGAGCATTTTTTAGATGATTCAGAACCAGAATTTTTTTTTTTTTGCAAATCAGAAAAAAATGAAGAGGCGAATCCGAGAACCAACAAATTAAATTGGTGTGGTCTAAGGACACAAAATACAAACATGCAACTTGCACTTTGCATGAGATTTCCAAGATTTGCATGTAAAAATATTCTGGATTCATATTTTGCAGCCTCTAGATCTAGCAGGCTTCAGGAAGCAACTAGCAAGAGTAGAAATTGGCCAAAAAGAAAGATGATTTGCCAGGAGTTTGAGTGGCAAACTGTTCTCTTAGTGCAAACCAACTCCCCTGGCATATCATCTGTCTATTTGGCCAAATTCATTGTACATTGATATACTAGACTTAAATCCATTTTAATTCTATCAAGCAAGAAATACAACAGGTATTATTTTCAGCACTCCAAGCACAAGTCAGGTGTAAATCTTAAGCTTTTCAAAGTATACCTGACAATGTGAAACATGCGTGGGCACTGCTGCTGAACAGATTAGACTAGATAATTTGGGTATAGCCCACTGCTGAAAGAAAACATGCTGGCTAATAACCAGTGCGCATGAGCAGAAGATTAGCATTGCTAAGAATAGAACTGAAATGTTAAAGGCGTCCAGTTCGATTTCATGCAGGCAAAACAAGAAAAATTTGTCTGATAGTGACATTTACTGACATTTCTTAGCACATTTTCGTCATCATTTTATACGTGAAGAGTAACTGAATTAACATAGCCCTACAATTCCCTTTTTTTTTTGTACCACCAATAAAAAGCTAGAACCCCCTACGATATAGAACAAGCAACCGTTTTCCAAAGTTTGTCTCACCACTATCAGACTAAGTATATATGCTGTGAGATAATGTTGATTCAACTTATATTAATTTATTACATCAATGACCAGAGAACTTTGAAAGTCCATTTTTGGTAGCCTCAAATTGCATTGGATGCCTTTAAGGGTCAGTCCCCTTAAATGTACACCCAGACATCAATATTTCCTCTGCCCACAGGCTGACATCATGATAGGGAATCAATCTACTTCAAACTGCAGCTCTGGGTAGTTTTTAAATGGTGGTCATGGCCCTGACTGCCAACATTGCTGCACACTACCAATCAATCCTTACACCAATGCCTAATAAATGATATTCATGCACAAATAAGTATGCTAAAATGATGTTACAGCGGCTGTTATTTTCTCTGAAAGGCCACACTAGTTTGATTTGTTGGTTCTCTGATTTTTTTTAGAAATATGCCAAGGCCCAAATAATATTCTAGTATGATAGCCCCAAATGCTACATGTCCATGTATACATGCACATGTATGATAGGGGCCATAGGTTTAAAATTTACGCAATGAATGTTGTTTTTTTCATCAAACCACTGCATTCATACATTGTAGATGAAAAAAAAACTGTGTGTTACTAGGAAGACAAGGGCTTTCCTCAACTGCTGAGGCAAAAATATATGTATGACTGAGCATTTCTGACATGATTCAAAACTAGTTTTTTTTTTTACAAACCAGAAGAAATGAAGTGGGCAAATCCTAGAACCAATTGATTGAATTGATGTTGCCTAAAAGGCTTTATTGTGGCTGTATATTTCTTTAGATGAGATTCATTACCATGGCATTGTTTGACAGATTGCCCATAAAATACTGGACTCCCAGTGGCTATTAATATTGATACTGGCATAGATCTGGTAGCCACTTGGCCTAGATGCATGTAATGTATTTGATCTTTTCTCATTATGTGCCAAGTCGGAATGATGTCCTAAGTGCTGAGGGTATCTCAGGGGGTTACAGATTACATGTAGTTCACAGTTGCAATTGCGCCAGCCTTTCCTTTTTTCAAAAGAGCCTTCACCTTTATAGATGGTATCCAATGCAATTTCATGGTGGCAAAACAAAAAAAAAATAATCTGGATGGGGAAATCTGTCTGATATTGATTTTCACTGCCATTTCTTAAGAACATTTTTGTTATCATTTCATACTTTAAGCATTTGAAATAGTGCCAAAACAAGCTTCATGTATATGAGAGGTCTAAACTTACATCAACTTACATTAAGCACAAAAGCTTAGAATCTACCATCCAAAATTTGTGACCCTAGATTGTCCAGATCACAAGGTATCAAATCCAGACGTTCCCCTACAGTACCATAACAAGCTACCAGGTGGCCCAAAATCTAATCATCTTGATGTCTCATCAAGGCCTACCCACATAACAGATTTTAATCTATTCTTAGGCCACACCAATTTAATTTGTTGGTTCTCGGATTTTGTCAGAAAAAACATGAAGCGACAGGGCGAAAAAAAATAAAAATAAAAACAGGTTTAGGCATCCTATTATAGCCCCAAATGCTATGATAGGAGCCATGAAGTCAACACAAAAGGTTGTGTTAATATTTAAACAATGAATTTTGAACTTTTAATCAAACCACTGCATTGATAGATGGAAACACTGCAACAGCTAGGAAGAAAAGGACTTTCCACAACTGTTGGGGGCAAAATATGAGTATTTTTGAGTTGATTCAGAACCAGAATCTTTTTTTTTTTCTGCAAATAAGAAAAAAATGAAGAGGCGAATCCGAGAACCAACAAATTAAATTGGTGTGGCCTTAAAAGCCTTCTCAAGTTACATTGTTAACAGACAGACAAACACACACACACACACACAAACTACCCATGCAAAACATAACCTTCTTACCACAAAGCCACTTGAAATATTCATCTATATTTGCTGTATAAAAATATCTCCAGGCCATTTACAAATTTACGACATTAAAGTCTCTTAAATGCTGCACCTGAGCCATTCTCACCACTGAGGTTTGTCTTTAATGGCTTTGGTAAATGTCAAATATTGTTTCAACTCACCTCACGTAAGCTCAGGTACCATTAAACGTCAATAAAAGCATGTGTATTTTCCCAGCGTAGCACTTATTTTGGGTAGGAGGCAAATTGGGCTATTGGAAATGGTAGATGGCTGGGTGCAAGGTGGTACAGTGCATTAAGGGCCAAGGATGACACATGTAGAGTATAACCCTTGCTTGAGCTATACTTTAGGATTCAAAATACAATGTACTTTTTTTTCTGCATACCTACACTGGCAAATTACCTGCACCAGGCACTTTTTACCTGCACCACTCAGAAGTAGAGAAGCATATAGATTGTACTAAAAACTGTACTATGTTCAATAGTCGTTGCATACATGTACCATGCTGTGCAATAAATTTCTATGATATACAATACCCAGCACATGGACTGGTACAGGTTAGCTGCAGGTAGACTGGGCCAAACATCCCACTACATGTTCATCCTGACAGAAACTGTACTCTTATGACAATTCTATGACGTCAAGTAAGAAGATCACATCCTGCTATCATTACTTTACTACATGTCCTGCTGCGTATCTTCCCCCTCATCACTGACCACACTTTCTTGTTACTACGCAACTGTCATTACGACATGGGCTGACGTAATTTGTTGTTATCACTACCACAAGAGACCTGAGTGTGCAAACTGTTGCTACACACTCTATGGCTAAATAATAAGTCACAGATGGATCAGATAATGTCACTGAAAATATGTTTAAGACATCCAGCGCTATTTCACAAATTTTCAGGGAGGCAAAACAAATATATTCTTGATCATGAGGAAATCCGTCTGATATTGACAATTTCTGCCATCTTTAGGACATTTTGTTTGAAATAGTCCCAAAACATGCTACATGAAGAGTCCCTTTTTTTTGGTACCACCAATAAATAGCTAAAACTAGCCTACGGTAGAAAACAAGCAATCATGTTTGCCTAACAGATATCAGACACTGGTTGACTCAACATTTAATAGGAATGACTGAAAAATCCAGTTTTTACTGCCCCGAAATCACTTGGGTGCCTTTAATATAAAGATTGAAATACTATAAAAGAGTTGAAAATGAAATAAGAAAAACCCTTATGGCAAATATACAAGTTGTAATTATGAATGATACATTAGAAAAAAATGACATTTTGTTTTACATTAAGACCTATTTTTTGGCAACACCTAAGGGACAGGGCCTTATTGGGCCCAGTTTGTAAAGTTGTAGCTTGAAACTCTTATCTCTAATACTTTGTATTTTCTTTATAAACTACAATATTCAATTCTGCAGATTGTTATCTATTGAAATGTTGTTGAATGTGTACTCACCAACCACACATATTTCATCCCTCCTGCACAGGTCCTTCTGGAATAGGCACCCTGAAAAACACAAAAAATTAACACTGAGTCTCAAAACTAAAGAAATTGTTGATGTAATCTGTATGACATACTCTGCCGTAGCAAACACAGTACATGTATGTTCACAGTTCTATACATTCGTGGTGGCGGTAGGTACATTTTTTTTTTACATGTATCAAAAAGAAAGTCAGCAAAAGCGATTTACAAAGGCATCCAATGCAATTTCAAGGCAGTTAAACTGGATTTAGGCCACACCGATTTAATTTTATGGATGACATCCGCGCGCGCATTGATTTTCGCCCGATCTCAAAAAAAAAAAAAAAAAA